CACAGCGTGACAACACTCTTCGCTTTGAACCACCACGTGGCGCACACTCAGCTCGCCGTCGTTGCTGTCCGCTCACATCGCGTTGGGGAAGCACTCGGCAAAGCGCTTCCCAGAAGTTCCGCTGTCGCCAGAGGGCCAACTTCGGTCAGTCCGTTTCCTGTTCAAAAGAGAAGCCGGGAGATGAAAGAAATTCAGGCCCAGAAGTTATCTCCTGAAACAGGACCTACATTTCGGCCGCTCTCCAACGCGGAAGAGCCCTCTCTACTCGGGCGCAGCTTCTGTCACTCCAACGCAAAAAAACCGCGTCTTTTTAGACCCAGTAACGGGAGAGATGGCTCGACGCCTGTCTTTCCTATAAAAAGGACACCGGCGGTCTTTTCCTTCTCCCTCTTTCCCCCATGGCCGATTTTGTCGCACCAGGCTCGCCCGCCACCCGGCTGGTCGCACAACTGCGAGCAAAGCCCCCCAAAAAGAAGAAGGCGCCCGCCAATAAGCCTCCCGCTCCTCCAGTGCCCGCGGGCCCCGCCCCCGGCACCATAGACCCAGTCACCGGTTTCATTACCACCGCTACCTCCACTGGTCGGCGCCGGCGCGATCTGACCGCCGAGATCCAGACCCAGTTCGCCAATGTCGCGGCGATGGTCACCACCACGGAAACCTTTGACCGTGTTCACTTCCGCCCCATCGCCCTTTCGACTCAAGAAAAACTGGATATCGCGAAGCGTCTCTGGACAGAGTGGTTTACCCTCCTGTACGCCAGCGTTGAAAAGGCCGAGGCAACCCTGGCGAAAGACGCTCCGTTCCCTCCCCTGGCCGAGGTTAAACACTTTATCTATTTTTTGGCCACCAAAGGAAAGTCTGGCCTCGGCGTCGAGCAGGGTGGGTGGTCAATGCACACGACTCGCACTTTTCTGGGTCGTATCTTCTCTATGGTACCCTCCTCCTCCTCCTTCCTTTTTGGCCTGGCTCATGCTGGGTTTGCAGTTACGCCGTTGCTTCACCAAGGAACCCCCCAAATACGATCGCACACAACTTTACTCCGTATGTCTCCGTCTCCGCCCTTTCCACCGGTTGTTTGAACTTGCTCCAGGCCATCTCCAACTGGGCCTTTGTCGACAAGGCGTTGACGACACGCAAACGTCCAAAACGCATCGTTCGCGAGGTCGACCTCGTGGAGTTGCTCGCCGTGGCCCTCAAAACCTCCGTAAAGATATCAAGCAACTTTTCCGTACGTGGCGGTTTTGTTGTTATTTTATATCGCTGATCATGTCAGCAGCGCATAACTATAATGGGGCTGATCACCTACCTCTTTACGCACGGCCATCGAATCGGTAGTCTCGTTGAGGCGAAAGGGTACGAGGGGAGAGGAGAGCATCTCAAGTGGCGTGTACGTCGTCTCCCCTTCTTTTTACTTGCCGATCCTGATGAATCACCCCAGGATATCGAGTTTGTGGCTTACGGTTGGGACCCCGAGGCCGGCCTGGGCATCCAGCAGTTCGCGGTGATGCATTGGTGTAAAGGGATGCGCTTTGATGAGAGTCTCAAGTGGGTCCTTTTTTTTACCAACGCCTCCGTCCATCCTGACTGTCCAAGTGTAACGACGAATATGCGTAACCTTGGACGATCCCGTATCCACATTGATCCATGCTTGCTTATCGAGGCTCTTGCCGTCCAGGCGGACGTGTTCGAACAGGACCTGTTGGTACTGCGCGCAACGGATCCTGCCTTGCTGGAGTTCCCGTTCACTCTCAAAATGAAAAAGTCCGCTCTTGACCAACCCGTCTTTCTCAACGCTGAAAAGACCGGCGCGCTCACCGAAAATGCCGCCTACCACCTTTTGGTCAAGCTGCGAAAAGCGCTCAACTGGTCGAGTACGCCCACACCTCGCCGCCTTCTTCCACCGTTAATCGCATCTACAGATTTCGTATTCACCACTCTTCGCTACAGCTACGCATCGACAATGACCGACCGTGTCCCCAAAGTGCGTTGGCGTTTTAGGTCGATCGCGCGCCGCAAGCTAACCCAATCCCAGACGCACCTGAGATATCTCATGGGACATACACGGGGCTCCTCGCTGTCAATTACGACCTACCAGGCGCCCGACCGTCCGGTCGATATATCCGGCTCCCGCTTTGACGAGGAGGGCGCCCACTTTGCCGCCATGGCACAAGCACACTCATCCGTGGCGTGGAACCGGGCCCCGCCACTGTCGGACGCCAAAATCACAGAGGACCCCAAGTTGTCGGCACTCATTGCCGAGGGCGCGCGTCGAGAAACCTTGGTGCAGCAAAAGTTTCCGGGAAAATGCGCCGAGGAGTTGTATCGTGAAGTAAGTTTCACAGCTCCTTTTGTGCTCCCCCAGATTGACCCTTTCATTCGCAGGGGAAAAATGACCCACTCATCCTCGACGCCCTCGACATCCTGGCCGAAACCCTGGAGTATTATCTGTCTCTTTCGGGTGTACGCACCTTGTCTGCTTCCTCCTCTGCCGCACCTGATCCTTGCATAGTCCCACCGCCCTCTCCCCTCCAAGGCGCCGTCGACGTCAAAGACAACCAACACTCCGTCCTCGATGACCGACTCCAGTCCTCCGGTGGCGTCGTCGTCGACCTCGCCCACGTACCCCGCGTTGATCTCGTTGGACGCGCCCACCAGCGGCGTGCATTCAACTCACGCGTCGTCGACCGGCACCCACCAACCCACCGCCATCGATCCGGCCCTCGACCCGGCGTCCACCATCACCAGCGACGGCGAGAACGCCTTGTTCAACTCGATGTTGAACGCGTGGTCCACGATAGACGACTCGCACCCATTCCTGGCGGTTGTCGCGCGGGAGCCCCACAACCCGCGTCTCGCCGTTCTACAACGCTACATGGCGTTGCTCCGCCTCGACGACGAGCTTCTGCCCGGTCGTTGCGTCTGGTGCTTTACGGATCCGACTCTCGCCCCAGAGATTCAAAACAAGGATCATACGGAGCACTACATACAACACGTCACCGCGTGCGAGCTAAAGCACAATCCCAACACATGGCGGTGCATGGTGTGCACGGAACTCGTCCCCATCGTCCCCAAGCGCTCCAAGAACCAGGACGTGCGCTTACTTCGCGACCGGATACCGACGCTCGCCACGGCTGTCGTCGACGATGATATGGAGGAGGAGGAGCGGCAGTCCATCCACGAGGCGTTCGAACGCCACTGCGAGGGTTGCTTTGAGCGACTCCTGGTTGTTGTGCGGGGTGACGGCGACGAGGAGGAGGACGTGGAGGAGCCGGAGGAGGAGGAGCCGCAACAGCAGCAGCAGCAGCAGGAGGGCGCGGGCAAGGATGCGGACACTGGCGGGGAAATGGACGTCGACGTGGAACCGGTGCGCGGACGAAGGTACTTATGCACGACGCCGTTCCACTCTCCACCATCTAATATCCGGTCTTAGTATGTCCAAGGTCCCTCGCGGACGATCCCAGTCGGTGGCCATGTCGAGGTATGGTTTCCTTCTCGTCTTCCGTGATCCCCACATCTCATTCGTGTTCCGCAGCGGTCGCGACAGCGACGTGTCCATGGCGTACGTCGACTTGTCCTTCACCGTCCTGTATTTGCTGATGTACCATGCAGGAGCGTACGCTCTCACACATCCTTGCTTAGATCAAAGCAAACCCGGAACGTCGCGGTACCCGACCGAGAGGAGTACGTCTTTGTTCTTGATATCGCTCTCTTCCACTAATGATTTTCTTCTCAGCGGCGCTCGTGTTTTGAGTATCCGAGTCCCCCTTGATGCGGGACGACCACAAGACCGCGATCTTCGACTGCATTCTTTTTTCTTTTGCCCGAAATGTCTCTGGGACGAGGACTTGGAATGGTCAATCCGGCTAGCGTATGTTACTTCCACTTTCCCCGTTGTACTCTGCTTACTTTTGATAGAACCCTGTCGAATGTCCCCAAGCTCATGACTCACCTAGCGACGCACTGGAAGCCCGGCGCCAAGACCGCGGGCATAGGTTACGACCTAAAGTTTTCTTGCAATTTCCCCGAGTGTCTCGTGCTAAGAAAGTCGGTCTTTTCTACTTGATTTGTTTCATTTCGCTCATTGTTGCACAGGATGAAGACAAAGGAGTTCATCGAGCATTTGCACAAGGTCCATCGATACAATCTCATACAATGCACAACGCACTGCACCGACGACACAGACTGCGACCCTCAAAAATGCGGCGAGGATCACCACGACTCGACCTGCTTCACTCTTCCCGAAAACTTCCTGTTTCATAACGATGCCCTTGTCCTGGCCAGCGCACAAATGCCCGCCGACAAGCGCGTCCCCTTGCCATCGGCGACCCTCGTCGAGTTTCGCAAGACCGACGTCCAGAAGCGTGCCCAGGCGGCTCTTTTCCAACACCTGGAGGTCACTCCTTTCGAATTCAAGGCTCCGGGCAAACGGCGGGCGAAAAAGAAGGGACTCGCAGATGGCGATAATGTCGCCGCCGCCGACTTTTTTCTGCGACGGTGTATCTTGGCCGTCGCCGGTCACCAGGAGTTCGCCGAGATCGACGTCGAGGAGCTCGTCAAGGCCAAGATCAGCGCGTTTCAGCTTGCGCAGTGCGCAAAGGACGAGATCCCGTCGTGCGGCGTCACCTTCACTCCTCCCAGACACAGCCGCTTCATCAAGGCCGTCAAGGAGTGGCTGGTGAGCGAGTGTGTTACTATGCTCGTCGACGCATATCCGGGCGTCGTCACCGCGGACCTCGCGCCCAAGCTCATCGCCGACCTGTACACCGTCGACGACCTAGTCGCCAGTAGCGCGGCCGACCTCGTGCAGTACGGCATGTCGGTCGCCGATCCTGTGTGGACGTTGATGAAGGGCTCGGTCCAAGGGTGGGCAGCGGATAACGGTGCCCCACAGTAGAGTAGTACTTTGCAGGATGATGCGGTACGAAATTACACAGTTTTTTTTTGATGCCTACAAATATATGCCCTGCGCATCGGGCGTCAGCTGTGCGACGAATTCCACCAGCAGCATGGCGCAGTCTGGAAGCGCGCGGGGCCCATACAGGATGCACGGCAAGTGTAATCTCTCAACCCCGAGGTCACTCGATCGAAACGAGTTGCTGCTATAACGTTTTGTTTTGGGTACTCTTTCCAGTTGATCAGTTCAGACACGCATTTGTTACAAGTGCCAGTGGTCGTTACACTACAGGGCCCCAATCCCAACTTAGCCGGACCTGGGGATTTGGTGCACAGCCAGCTAGCGCGGATCAGTTTGATTTTCGCCCTGGCAAAGCCAGGGTGAAATTGTGCACGCTCCTCGACCTTTGTCTCTTTCAAGTTACTTTTCAACCTGTGAATTCCTGTTTCCAAGTTACGTGTTATCCGTTCTGAATTTCACCCGAGCATTGCCAGGGTGAAGCAAGGTCAAAGGGTACACGATGTGTAATCTAGATACTTGGTAATCTGAAACCCCGAGGTCACTCGATCGAAACGAGTTGCTGCTATCTTCTCTTTTGCTGCCCTCTTGTTGGATGATTTTTTGCCTTCCCAGCGTACCCTACACCCAGATCCACCTTCCACCCGAGCCAGTACTTTCCCAGACTCTTGTACGAATTTTTACGGCGCCTAAGGACAAAATTTGGCAAATTCAACCAAGGAACCGAACGAGACCGTTTGAGGGGCGGGCTGGCACTTGTTATGTCTCTTGACGCTTGCATATTGGGCAGACATATCGGTTAAAATAAGGGTTGAGAGTCCAGAAGCAACCATTCCTTGTGAATGGTCCAAGGCTTCACGCAAGGTGGGAAGGCAACAGACATGTTGAACTTACTCATTCAAAGCAATTAATTAATGCGATCGATGATATGAATCGTAATAACGTCGCTTCACGACTTTGGAACGGATTGAGTGGAGGAGGGGACGCTGAAACTGACGAAGGAATGTGAAATTTCCTGCTGAGCCTTACAATCACTCACCGTTCAAGCGCGCCGTAGCCAGCAGAAATCTCAATTGAGCTCTGACCAAAGCAGAATCAATTTCTATCTGGAGGCTGTTGGGATGCTCACAATAGGGTAGAGTGTGCAGAGCTAAGTTTGAGCTAGGTATCAAAATTCAACAGGTTCCAACTGCGCCATGTCAAAAATGATCCGCTTTACAACTGCGCCATGCTGCAGGCAACTTGTGATCGTCGGACTCCAACTGCGCCATGGTGCCAGCTGTGATCGGGTGCGTTTTCCTACAATATTTCGCGAACGAGCTATTGCTCGGCATAGTATAGTACGGGATGCTACACCAGTTCAAGGTTCCTTTTATCTCAGGTGGCTGTGGATGTACACCGCCACCGCGGCAATCCGGGTATGAGTCACGCGCCTTCTTTCCGACTTCCATGGCTGAATCTCTCGTTCACCTAGACCAGTCCATCCTCGTCGTCCCTTCATTCACCCTGGAATGTGGAACGGAACTGCGGCAGGTCCCCGTCGCGTACAAGACCTGGGGAAGGCTGAATGCTGCCCGCGACAACGTCATGATTATCTGTCATGCATTCACCGGGAGCGCGGACGTCGAGGACTGGTGGGGCGTCGCAAGTATCGAAACTCTAGGCTGATCGCGAAATGATACAGGTGGGGTCCGCTCATGGGTCCAGGACGGGCGTTTGACCCGCACCGGTTTTTTATCTTCTGCGCGAATGTCTTGGGGTCGCCGTACGGCACTGCGTCCCCGATAACTATAAATCCGGACACGGGTAAACCGTATGGACCTGAATTTCCTGCGACAACCATTCGGGACGATGTCTTGTATCTATCGTTCATTACTTCATCGACTGAAATTGACGTTTTTTCAAGGCTCCACAAGCACGTTTTGGATCACTTAGGTGTTCAGTCTGTCGCCGTCGCTATCGGCGGCTCCATGGGTGGTATGGCGATATTAGAATGGCCGCTGTGTACACCTGAGGGGTACATCCGGCATGTTATCCCAATCGCGACCTCTGCCCGCCACTCTGCGTAAGTCACCTTCACCAATTTAACTCGAGTACTCTTTCTCAACTTCCACCAGATGGTGCATATCATGGGGCGAAGCGCAACGGCAGAGTATCTACAGCGACCCCGGCTACAAGGACGGGTTCTACATCACCCAGCCGGCGTCGGGCCTTTCCGCCGCGCGCATGAGCGCCCTGCTCACCTACCGCTCGCGCGATTCCTTCGAGAGCCGTTTCGGACGTCGCGCCCAACAGCTCAACGCCGCACCCAAGGTCGACTCGGGACCCACCCCACCTGCCTCCCCGCCGCCGCTGTACCGGACGCAGACCCCCGCAGACGCTGCGGTGGCCGCGCACAACGACGGGCACCACGACCGCACGCGGGACCAGGACCACGAAGCGCTGCGGCCGCCGATCTTCTCCGCGCAGTCATACCTGCGCTACCAGGGGCACAAGTTCACCGCGCGCTTCGACGCGAACTGCTACATCCACATCACGCGCAAGATGGATACGCACGACGTCGCCCGCGGGCGCGTCCCCTCCACAACCTCATCAGTTGATGGAGACGACAACGAAGACGCAGAAACCGCCGCCCTGGCCCAAATCCTCGCGACCCTCCCCCCGCGCGCCCTCGTCCTCAGCGTCGCCTCCGACGGCCTCTTCACCCCCTCGGAGCAGCGCGAGCTCGCCGCGCACATCCCCGCCGCGGAGCTCGTCGTGATCGAGTCGCCCGACGGGCACGATGGGTTCTTGCTTGAGTTTAAGCAGATTAACGGCCATGTGCTGCGGTTTTTGAGGAGGGAGATGCCAGGGCTGTACGTGGATGCGGACCTGGCTGCGGAGGAAGGGGATGGGCAGGGGGTGGAGGCGTTTGAGGTGAGGAAGACGAGCGTGTTTGGGGAGGCGGAGGTGGATGTTGCGAGTTGGTAGGGTGGTGTAGTCTCTCGTGCATAGACAGACGCTACAACTCGATCCAAGAACCTCAAGCCAGATCCTGCCGACTTTGTGTGCTGCGCTCTCTGTAGAATAACACCCACTAGCGGAGAAAGTCTGGGACCACTATCATCTTTCAATCTTGTTTCTCAGTTCCATTCCTGCCCCGGGAATCCTTCGATTTGGTACGCTGATTACAAGTCGAAGCGGCGAAGCGGGGGGTTACGCCAATTGCTGCTACGCTACTACAACGCCGTACGACCTCGGATTACTGTCCTCCAAGTTCAACATCGTTTTGTGTTTGAAAACCGCGTTTTGGAAATAAGGGAATCGGTCCGTGGGGAATACTCATCAAGAAGAACTTGACTTGCTCCCGAGCGCGACAAAAATCTCGAAGCTGTTGAGGGCTGTGCAGAGGTCTGCACATGAGGTGGGCGCAAACGCTGCACTCCCCTGCTCCCACTTACCTACGATGGCGGGACTTGAAGCCTCTCGTTCGGAGAGCCTTTACACGGTGTCCACCGTCCCAAGCACTGTCTGGGGACCAGGAACGGTTGCAGGCAGGGTTATCTTGGCCCTTGGAGAAGCGACCTTGAAAGGAATAGACCGCATTGTCGACCTGGAGGCTCGCGCAATTCAGAGTCGCCTTGCAGTTATTCGGCGTCAACTGCCGGGTAATCTGCCACCGGTCATGTATGATGACCTGGTCGAAATGTCTCGGCAAGTACACCACTGCGTCGGATACTGACTACTTGACGGAGACATTCATTATTAAAGCGCACGCATACCCCCAGGTTATGGAGGAGGCGCTGCAGATCATGTGGTTACAAATTGAGCGCGGGCATGCCAAGGCTGTTGTGTTGAGCCTCGGCCAACTTTGGCAGTCGGAACTGGAATGGGTTATATGTTGGATCGTTCATTTCAGGTCATGTGTTGAAACGAAGTACAAATAAACCCTTGCATGAAGCCAGCATGACTTGTCTGGTGGGCTGTACGACCTCGCCACTCCCATGGAACAAGCCCTAAACTTCCTTTCAATTCTGGTTCAAGTGCGCCCAGCGGCGGCGGTCGCATGTTTTACTGCGTTGGACCATCTTTTTGCGAACCTACACTTTTACAAACTGTTCGTGCACCTTCACCAACATCCTATTTTAACAACATACGGCGAAGAAAGGGCAAACATCCCATTGTTGTGTCGAACACCTCTTTCGACACTACAGCTGGCCTACTCCGCAAGCCTTGAGAATAGATGGAATAATTGGTTAGATAACAGTGGGCAGTCGGTCGAGACTCGCCTCTTAGACATCAGCGCAGCCCTGGTGAGCCCAAGCTCGGACGATTGGCCATGGGTCCCAGATTTCTGGGACGCTGCACACGATTTATTTGACATCATTCGGTCGGTATTCGTTCTTCTCACCGAATGTCGCTAAATGATCATGGACGTAGATACTCAACGATCCCACAACACCATCGAGCTGCCACGAACCAACTCATCGCATGCGTCGCAAACCCTCTTACATGGGAGCCCTTGCAAATGGTACTTGATTCGGTATCGAGGTTTCCCGCTGGACGCCAGGTGGATAAAGGCTCTGGCTATATTTTGCCCAGTCTTGCAACCTTACTGGGCTACGATCCATACATTTCGGATATTTCAACACCCCCGCCAGAGGACCCCTCGCTTCTCTTCGATCCACAACTGTGTGCATTCTTGCGCTCCGCGCATCTCCGATCTCATAGGCCGCCACCCGTTGGAGTTGATACATCACTCAGCCAAGCAGCTAGAACCTCCGCACCTCAAGAGCATTTTCAGGCTCAAGAGCAGATGGAGAATGAGCCTGATGTCGCTCTACGCACCCTCCAGTTATTTTGAGCATCAGTTGGAGACTATACCCGAAGTGAACGAAGCGGAGGACGAGGCTCCCTTATACCCTATCCTAGTCTCTCGTAGACAGATGCTACAACCTACCTCGTACCTCAGTATGTTGTAACCCTAAACATATTCTCGAATCGTCTACTTTTTTTTTCGAATCACCGTTGACTTTGTACTTAGGTGCATTATTAGTCTCTCTCGACGTGAGCCTGTGAGGGTGAACGGCAAGAGAGACTTTTACTAGCGATGCCGATGAACGCAGCACGGATTGATCGCGAATCAAGGTGAATTTCCCACGGTTCAACCTCACTGCGAACGAGCGTGCCTTACTTCAGCGTCTAGCTGTG